GACAGTGTTGTCTTCCTGCCTGATGCATTTTCCTGATCTCACCAGGGGTCCTGGCTTGTCCCTGTGCCAGTCACCTCACCAAGAGAGAGGCCTCTGTATTTTTAAAGCTGTCCTCAAACCCACTCAACACAGTATTCTCATATCCACCAAATCTGGGGTTCCAGGCCAGGCCCAGAAGACGACTGGGAGGTCCCAGGTGCCAGGCTCCTATAATGAGGGCAAGCAGTTGGTTGGACATCAGACCCCACTTCATTCCTTGTATGAGGGCTTGGAACAAAAGCACACAGCACAGCTGCAGACACAAGCATCCTTGGCTGGAGAAAAGAAGACACGTTGGGCATTGAAAAACCACAGGGAAAATAAGGTCCATAGAAACTAGGCTAGTTTAACAAAGATTCATGGGTGACTTGATGCTAATACAATTCTCAGATTGAAAAAAAAATAATAAATCCCTCCTTCCCTCCTCCTGTATTATTCTGCCTTTTGCCTAGGCTAAAACGGTATTTTTGAACTGGAGCAGACCTTCCTCAGCCGGTCTAAATATTATATCCAATAAATACTTATTGGAGTAAAGCTGCATCTAAGCCAAGCCCACAGGCTAGACAGTCTTCTAGTCTACAGGAAACCTTTCAAACTGTAGAGCCCTTCATCACTGCCAGAAATCTACATTGATTTCAGTCCCAGCTAATAAGTTCTCGAAAGCCAGAGCAAACCAATGCTCAGGCTGGGCTCTTTCAAAGCTGCGACAAGGTCTGTAATCCAGGAATCACATCATCTCTTCAGTTCCAGCCAGTGCATAACCACACCACGTAATGTATCACTCCTCCAGCTCATCCCAGCTAGGAAACAATTTAAAAATAAGTGAGTTTATTCTAAATAAATCTGCAATAAAAAAAAAAAGGGGGCTCAAAATAGGGTTATTTTCAAAATTTATAGTTTTTTAAAATAACATCTTTACAAAACACAGATATTTCAGGAAAGAAAAAGGAATAGTTAGGAAAGGTTTGGAAAAAAAAAGGTTTCAAGAAGATTGAGATTTAGTACTAAAAAAAAAGATATTTTGTGATTGGAAAGACAAAATTTGCAAACAAATACTACCTGAAGTTGTTTGTCTTCAGAAGGCAAGTCCCTGGGTGGGGTAGGGGCCAGCTGGATCATTAGGCTAGGTCTACAGCAAAAATTTTCTGCTGTTACAAGACTATATTTCAGTTAGACCTCTCTTTTCCCAAGTTTGTGTATAGACATGCGGTTTGTTCACACCGAGCATCCTAGGCTTGCTCTGGGGAGAGCAGAATGTGATGCTGCTTAGAGCTGAAGACAGCTATTGTAACAACACAGCCACAGTACGCGCACCAGTAGCATTTTGTCCAACAGTGTGGGCATTTTAAAATTAAATATAGCACATAACGACAAATTATTGCTAATTGTCATTACTTGTGTGCATGTTTTATGCTATGGCACAAACGAATATTTTGGGTTTTTTTTCTGTTGAGCTACAATGTTTATAGCTAATAACAGTAAATCTGCGTTATATACCACTGACTAGCCATAATGCTCTAAAGGCCTCGCAGCAAAGCAAAGCAGCCAAAGAGCTGTAGCTGCAGTATTTCTAAACATAGCTTTGATTTCAGGTTTAACTGTGTCCTAACTAGGCATGTTTATAAGAGATCACAAAAGGCTGGTTTGTAAGTATATACAGCCAGATTCTCATGTAAATCAGCATTTCAGTCCCCTTGGGCTCCAGCCTCAGGGAAAGGGTTGATGTCAGTGGAGCTACATCATTTTGCAGCAGCAGAGCTGTAAGAGTTTGCAGCACCAGAGTGGGTCTTAAATATTGAAGGTTTTATCCTGCAACGGGCTAAAAGGATTCCTATGTCCTCAGAGCAGCAGGCATTTAGTGCATCTCTGGAGAAACCCAGTCCTCCGCATAGTCATTTTCTGTTATCATCTGAGCAAGGCTATGTACGTACTGTCACGGCGGGTGAAACTCAGCCCTGTGAAGGCAGTCTGCACAGAGCACACCTTGCTTCGAAGCTCACTTCAGCCTTTGAAGTGAATATGAATGAATTCATACAAGAGAAAAACTCCATCCTCTCCAAATTATCCTTTGTACAGCCCCGGAGCTAAAAACCCCGTGCACAGAAGTGTATCGTGAACATGCATTCGGAATCTCTGCAGATATGATAGGGTCAGTGCAATACCTCTGCTTAAATTTAGACTGACAATTACAGACAGCAGCTGTAGCATTTCTAAAAGGAAAAATATATCTGATTCCCCTCTGTGCTAAGACTCAATAGGTCCAGCATAAAGTCCTTGAATACCAGCAGTGCCTCAGGAGACATAATAATCGATCTTATCTGCATAACTTATTCAGGTATTTATAAATAGCTAATACAATTGAGAAACTTGTGTGTGAAGCAGGAACAAAAAGATATGATGATCGTTAAGTAAACGTAAGCTGCTACAAAGCTCTCTTGCTTAGCTGTGATTAAGCCACAGCAAGATTCAACCCTTTGTGTTCTGATAGGAGGGCGAGGATCAGCAGAGGCATTGAGGTCCCACCTAGGGCAGCCTGGGAGCGCAGAAAACCAGCACAGGTTCTCTCTCAGCAAAGAGAACATAAAACATTATGTTGTTGGTGTTGGTAGGGGAAGCCTACTGCCCAGCTCCACTCAACAGAGCCATACGGGGCTGGATAGCTGTAGCAGATAGCAGTTTTTCACGTGGACAAGCTGTCAACTCTCCAGGCAGAGGAAAAGGGGTTGCTATCCCAAGAGCTGCCATGGGGAACCTGCTCTAAAATAGAAGCAAAGCCATTCTCTAAGTAATTATGCCAGGAAGAAGTTAGCTTTATCTCAGAAGAAGTTAGCTTTATCTAAACACAAGAAATACTCCAGAATACCTGTAAAGCAGTAGTTGTCCCAGAATAGCTCAGGCAATCAGCCTGCCCACACAAACGAGCCATCAATGATTCATCTTGCAGAATGAGAATGACTTTTCCTGGAGGGAAAAGTGAACAGTAAGGGTTTGTGGCCTGGCTGAAGCTCAAGTTATATCTCCTATACTCTCTTCATACAATGAACTTCTCCAGGGCTCTTCTGGAACACTCTCACAGGAAGAGGGGGGCAAATTTAGCTTTCTGCTGCATTGGTGTCGATGGCTTTGCCCTCATGTAGTGAGCAGCTGTTAACCCATTTTGTTTTTCATCTCTTTCTCAAATGCCAGCTCTTATTTTTTCTAATGCACCTAAGAGTAAATACTGCCAGAAGCAAGACTCTTCTTAGAACAGCTCCTGAATCATCTCTTCTGTTTTCTAAGAGCATTTGAATTAGACCAAGAAAGTCACCCTGTAGTCATATAAGCTATATATTGAGCATACTCATTTGATTACAATCACTTCGGTTTCCTGGACTAACATTTAAGTGGGAAAAGACATTCAAAATGAACCAATATTAGATATAGGCCTTGCAGGCAAAACACTTATTGTGGTGGAAACTTGGAATATACTGCAATATGAGACAGGGGGAAAAAATCCTGTCTAAGTGTTTTATGCAAATTGTAAGAAAGTAAGAAGAGAAAAAAACATACCAGAAACATTACTGAATCCACCAATTGGATGTTGCTTTATAGGCAAGGTCTTAGGCAGAAAGCAGTAGTAACTTATATTTTCCACAATGAAATTGAAAATGCACTTATAGTATAGTGGATTATGGCTTTGTGAAATATTACAGTTTTCTTTCTCTGCTTTTGCAGGTAGTTAAATTTAAGCGCTACTTACATTCCCCCTCATCCCCAAATTTAAAAGGCAATAAATTGCTTTAGTGTTTTCAATTTCTTTTCCTTCAAGAGATGTAAATTGATTGGCTGAGTCCCTCCACAAACCTTATTCTTATGAATAAGGGAGAATAATTTACAAGGCCATTTGGCCCATCTAATCCCCTTTTAGCTCCAGGTCTCCTTTCTCAGAGGCCACCACTACAACACTTCATGTCCAGCCAGACAGCAGAGCAGCAGCAGCCCCGATAGCCCCACATCAGTGCCGCCCCGCAGCCTGGATGAGAGGGATGGGCACAGTGTCTGTTGTACCTTTCAGCTCAGTGGCATGGAAAACATAGACAATCACAGAATCTCCTAGATTGGAAAAGACCTGTAAGATCACCTAGTCCAATCATTAACCTAACACTGACAAGCCCACCACTAAACCATGACTCTCAGCACTATATCTACATGACCCTTAAATACCTCCAGGGATGGGGACTCCACCACTGCCCTGGGTAACAGGTTCCAATGCATGATGACCCTTTCAGTAAAGAAATTCTTCCTAATAGCCAATCTAAACTTCCCTTGGTGCAACTTGAAGCCATTTCCTCTTGTTCTATCACCTGTCACTTGACAGAACAGGTTGACTCCCACCTCTCTGAGGTGGACACCCAGACCCAGAGGAACAAAGGGATAACGGAGGCTCCTTAGAAAAACTCTTGGGATGTGCCTGAAAAGTAGTTCTCCTCAGGCTAGCAAATCATTTGTGTATAAACCAAACCGGTTTTCAAACTTCTTGGCTGGCTGAGGGACAAATCAACTACAGAATAAGCATAAAGTAACTTAACCAATTAAAGAGCCAGATGTTGCTAAATGCCACAGTTTAGGAAAGTGAAGTCTTGGGCTCAGGCCAAGAGCATGACCGCTTCAGGCTCCAGCTTCAGGAGTGTCAGTCTCCGGTAAACCTTGCTGCAGTGCTTTGAGGTGCTGTCACAAGAGGTCTGCAATGTTCCTCTACAAGAGGTGACCACCTCCAGCACATTGGTAACAGCACAGGGCCTGTCCCACGTCTGTGCCTCAGTTTCCCAAGGTCAGTTCAACCCATAGTTTAAACTACCCTGAAGGCAGATCTGCACAAACATACCCAGAAGCAACCTGGGCTGGCTGAGGCAGAGGCCAAAGCACAGCAGGGAGGAGGACAGAAGCAGCATAAGTGCCCAAGCACGTGTCACCTAAGTTACATGGTATTCATGGTAGCGGTCACAGTGAGCAATAGGCACACAGCATTGGTGGTGACACCTTCCCATAGACACGCTGTTTGCCACGGGCATGAGCTGCCAGGCACCTTTGTGCTCAGGAGACTTCACTGCCGAGTGCCACGGCTCATCAGGACGCCCGTTCTGGCCCTTCTTCTGCTCCCACATTGGCACATATGTATGGAGGAACAAACCTGTATGAAAACCGCAAATTTGTACCTAAAAAGGCTTTCAGTCACACACGGTCAGAAACTTTCCTCCACAGCTAAGATTACTGAGACCAGAAGTTTGTTTCAAGGAGTTTTTTGGGTGGAGGGTCAGGCTTTCTTCTGCTCCCAGCACAGTGGGGATCCAAGCCATGGCTGCAGCCTTACCAAAACTTCCTATTTCTATAAAGATCAGAGCAAGCATGAACCGCTTCTGTCAATACAGTTTCAAAACACATTGTAGAGACTACAATAAAGGAAGCTTATTTAAAACTACCTGTACCTTTTAATTCTGCCTTTCAGAAAATAAAAATATAGCAGCATACGTAGTGATGAGGGGGACAAATCAACTCAAGGTGGGGGTACCCTCCCTTACATGGTTGGATTTTTCCAGGAATAACAATCATTCCCTAAGCAAAGCCTCATTGCATGCATTCCACGCAGCCTCATCAGCCATCCCGCGTGCCGTGCTTACCGTCAAGTGATGGGAAGAAAAATGCCATCACTGGGCCAGTGCCTGCTGCAGCAGCTTTCCAAAATGGAAACATGCAAAGCCATAAAGGGTAAGGGGTTGGCAGCACAGCTAATTCTGTAAATAACTTGCACGCCTCGAAAGGGAGGCACACCTCTCGGGAGAGATACCGAGATAAGAGAGACAAGCCGAGAGCTGAAGCTGACGAGCACAAGCGGTAGGGCTGCGTGGCTGAGAAGCGTTGGCCGGCAGAAAGCACGTCCTGCCCAAAGCCCTCATTGCGCCCCTTCTCCACTGCTTGCTGAAGACAGTGGCTCTTCCCGGCTTGCTCATTTAAAAGGCTCCCTAAAAAGTGAAGGAAGCTGCGAGAGAAGTGAAGCATTTGGCAAAATGCAGCCGCTTGAAGATGTTACGTACACAGAAAGCCTGTAATCCCGTCCCCACCCTCATCTAATGTCTAGTGACAGCCCATCAAATGCTCCCTCTTTATTAAATTCAACTGTGAACAAAATTAGCGAAGAAATATGGGTTTTAATTAATGTTTGCCTTGACCATAAATGAAAGAGAACTTTAATTTTTTTTACTGTATTTTACTAATCAGAGTCATTCAATATCTTGGATGCTAGTAAATTAATTCTGAACTAATGAAGTTAAAGGAGGTCATTTGTTAGAGAAAACTGATTACATACCGGGATCTCCTGGGGACCTAAATGAGAAAATCACTATAATGAAAAAATATTTTAAATGATGCAGGTCAACCAAGTAGATCATTAAGGATACAGAGGGGGTGGAAATATTAATGACACCATGACAGGGAAATGCCAAAAGGGAAGTGGGCTGACATAAGTAAGCAGAAAGGCATTTAGCTTGGGTTTTTTCCCCCCCTTCTCATATTTGAAACACTTGAATTTCATTGCTTACCTCAAATTAGTCACCTGTGCCCAGATATTTCAATGACAGCATAACAGCAATGCACTAATGTGCATTATGTACGTAAATTTATTTGTGTAGAGCATAAACCATTTAGTAGTATTAATCATAGTGGCACCTAAGGACCCAAGCCAAAATATGGGTTGCATTGTATGAGACATGGGAAAAAACATGCAAGGGGAAGGGAGTGATCCCTGCTTCTAAGAGGTTTAATTTCAACAAGGAAGCAGCAGCCAGGGGAGGGAGGCTTACATGGCACATTAGAGCATTGGGCTAGTGCTTACATACAGCTGGCCAGAGCAATGGAAGCCGTGTAGTCTGGATGAACAAGAAATGGCCTCAGGGGCTGGAGCTGTGGTCTGTTGAGCCCAGAGATCCCCCTGCCTTGGACCACGGCAGTGGGAGATGCTGTTTAGGGAGAGCACGTGAGCCTGGGCACCCTCTGCAGCCTGCTGCCCCTGTGCTCCTCCTGCACCTGTAATCACTGCAACAGGGACGCAGAGACCACTGCTCTGCCTGAACTTTTTACGTCCACTTCCGGCCTACTGTCTGAAATTAAATGTGTTTAGCTCTGTTTTGAACCTGCTGACACAATGGGACTCTGCAGCCTTTTGAGGCAACACAGCCCAGATGGTCTCTGCCTGCTACAAGAAACAGTAAGTTCTTTCACCTGTCTCACGCTCATCTCCTACCAGTTTCGGTGAGCTCCACCACGCAGTAGCAGTGCAGAATTTGGTGAGAAGCAGTTCTGCATTCGTCTGATTCATGATTTTGCTGACTTTGATCATATCGTCCTTAGCAGTAAAGCAATTCCCAGTGCTTTGCCGTCAGTGCCCTTCCAGAGGACACCCAGCACTCTTTTCAATTCTGTGGCTGCCACCGCACACTGATCTCATGATTTCAAAGACCCATCAGCGTTGGCTGTTTCCTAACCTCCAAGTGTCAGTTCTGAGTCTGGCATTGTGTGGGCAGGATTTACATTATTCTTTTTCCTTATGCATCAAGTACTTTCCTGAGAATCCCTGAAACATCCCTCTTAACCACATTCACATCAACACTGAGGATGTGAGTGAGCCTAATCCTGCATGGCAAAGCACACAAGCATTCAACACAATGGGAGAATCTAGACAGCATCCATATTTAGGTTTGCTGAGTTTTACTGAGGTGGTTTACAGAGCTTCAGGACACTCTCAGGAAAAAAAAAAATAAAATCAAATCAAAGGGGCGACTGAAGGTAGAAACCAAACAAGGCAGGAGGTGCAAGGAATGTCATCCCATGCAGAGTGGCAAATGTAGCCTGGGAAGGAAAGTTGCAAGGCATGGCAAGAAAAAAAATAAAGGGCTGGAGGGGGGGGAAATCTCTGTTCAATAGTACAAGGACAGGAGGATCCTCTCATGAATTCAGGAAGGCAGAAAGAATCTAAGGAATATTAGAGGAGAAATCAATATACTACAGAAGGAGAAACAAAGCAGGACCAAGAAAATTTGTTGGAACAATCCTTTATGAAAAGGGAAGTAAGGCAGATAAAGCACTGACACATCTGTTTACAAAGCTTATCAGAAAGCAGTTTATTCAAAGGAAAGAAGAAGCAAAAGCAATCCTAGATCCACTAAACCCACTTTTCAGGATTTCTTCACCAAATTAGGCAGAGAGAAATATGCTGGTCCTACAGACCAGATGCAAACTATTTAAATGAATACATCAGGCAGTTCTATCACAAAGAGATGTAATTAAATTTGAGGAGCCAATACCTCAAGCAGAGCCTAAAAGGGCGATCAACAGTTTACAGCTTGGAAAACTCCCAGAACTGGAAGCCAAATTCTTCAGAGCATTTGAACAAAAACTCATCCCCTCATTAAATGGAGCATTTGCTGAAATGCCAGGAAAGACTAGGTTGAAGCTACCACACTATTCTCACACAGAAAAAAGGCAAAGCCATTAATTATTGAGGGTTCTTATGATTTATTTCTCTTTTAAATATGGATATTAAAATTAGTGCTAAAAGGCTGATGACAAGATGGAGATTGCTTTTTTCAATGGTAAGCATTTCTGACCTCTCAGTTACCAGCTGTTTAATTGCAGTCTCCAGATGAGCAGTAATAGCCATTGATTTGTGTTCATTAAACTCTATCATAGAACCAAGAACTAATCCTGATGTTTTACAATGTAAAGACAGCATTAGACTGAGTTAAGTAACTACCTCAGTTAATATTATGATGATGATTTGGCTTCAAAGTACATCTCCTATTGAACCGAAAACTAGAATTCCTTTAAGAGCTTCTTCATTAAATAAATATTCCTCAAGAATGGAATTAGCCACAACTATTTGTCTCTTTTTAACTGCTCTTTCAATCAAAATTTTCTGACCATCTTCAAATGACAAACCCCAACAGTTACAAAGCAAACATTCTAAGAACCAACTTTCATTTTATTATAAGTATGTACATATATATCTCCATTTATATCCATTATATTAAAATATCATGAAAGAGGTATTAAAAAAAATCTGGAGTTATCAACTATCTCACAGCAAAACTCTCAAATCTTGACATGTGTGTGTAATACCTGGTAGAAAGGATGGGCACAGTCAACTGAAGATGTTAGTCTGGTACAAGCAAACAAGAGGACAAGAAAATGACTGTTCTACCTAGCTGAAAAGAAACAGATTGCTGACGTAGTATGGGGGGTGGGGAGAAGCTTTCATTCCTACATGAAAGCAGAGAGCAGGTTGAAGGTAAGACTACGTCCAGAAATGTAACTGTCACCTTACCAAAACCTGAGAATTAACTTATGCGATATCCTACTGGTGTTGCTGTGTGAATGCTGCCCATGAAATTACTGTCCCACAAGCAGTGTGAAGAAAAATAACATAAGGCAGAAAGAAACTTGCAATGTATTTGCTCTCACCCCAATAGAATAGAAAACAGTATGACCAGGAGTATCGGAGTGATATATTTCTCACTCCACTGCTCTTACATGGAGGACTACATTTATAAAACAGCCAATTGCCGTTTGAATCATAAGTAAGCGCTGAAGTCAAGTTTTGTTTTACTCAGATGTATAAATTTTCCTCACCTATAAAACTTAGAGTGGATGTACAGTGGCTGTACACAGCTGACGCTATCGTTCAATGTTGTTGATCCAGTTGGAAAATGAACGATGGTTTGCCATAATTCCTATGCACATTAGGAAGGCAGTATATTATCCATGCAAAGTTGAGCAATAATTTCTCCATTCATAACCACAGAAGAACCATTTTTTTTATATATGTGTAAGTATATATGTATTTGATTTGGAGCACAGATTGGCCTAAGTTACAATGGTGCAAAATAAAGCATTTGTGCTCCTGTGATGCGTATTTTTCACTGTTTGACATCACCATCCAAATTTCTTAAGACATCTTCACGATTTGGCACAGCAGTCCTTGGAATGTACAAATTCCAGCATTTCAGCACGCCCCAAGTTTTGTCTACAGAGATGAGTTCTGGTTGCCAATGGAAATTCAGGCTACACATCTCAAGATCTGCACATGCTCAAACTGCAAGAGGACAACTGTGAAATCTGTTCTGGTGATTATAACTTGAAAAAAAAGGGCAAAACTTATCAACGGTGAAGCACAGGCATTAAAAACCCCTTTTTTTACTCATCACTGGCCAAAAACCCAATGAATCCATTACTGAAGTTTAGCAAAAGTATTAGCTCAGTAATAAAAGGAAACTATAACCAAAAAGTCTGTTTCTGAAGAAGCCAACTGACACTTACTGTTGAGGGATTCCTCGTTACCATTTAACGCAAGATCTTCTTGCAAAGTTTATTCCTCATTTCTAAGACAAGAATGGAGTTCAAGGGATTTATTTTTATGACACAGCCAATAAATTCCTTCTTTTATTTTCCATTCAAGCATGCTCACAGGGTTTCAGCCCCATTGAGAGTTGGCAGCAGATCTTTATTCTCAGTTACTACTACTATGACGCGGTAGAATTCAAGTGAATTGAAGCACTGTTTCAAAATAAACATCTCTGCTTCATGTCCAAACATTGCATGACGTTGTACCACAAGAGGCTAAAGTAAGTCTGGTAGAAAACCAATCAGTTATTCTAACTGCCATTTCCTACAGCTGCTAACTGTAGCACGGTAATGAAAGCCTGGGGTTTTGCACAATCCTAAAATATTGCAATCTCTTGGCTGTGAAAGAAGAGCGTGGCTCAAGCTGAAGCAATCTACTTCACACCAGTCTAATCTTGGTGTAATTAGAGGATCGCTGCCAAATGTAAAGCATATGTTTTGTCCAAAGTCTCAATGCAAATCTCTCTGTGTGTATGTATGTGTTGAATTATTAAATTCAGAAACCCGTAGCAACATCTATGATAATGTATACTGCTACTATTATTATACACAAGAAGCTCTAAAGCCACTTTTAATCAAAAAAGATCCTTTTAAATCTATACCTGGTTTTAGTGACATTACTGTTAATGCAGCTGATGAAATATTAAGCATGCAATTACTGTACATGCTCTATAAATGGCTTTCCTGACATTCAGGCTATATAGAAGGCTGTGTCAAAATGAGAAGGAACGTATTTTTCTCTCAAGTATCTTTTTCCCACAGAGAAATTCAAGATTAGGTTGAAAGCATTTCACTCAGAAGAGATGAGAGCCCCAACCAAATGCCGCATTCATTATAAAAAAAAAGTAATGGACTGGAGGAGAGAAACCAGCAGAACTCCCAGTTGCTGTCCTGAAAGAAGGTGGGGCAGCCGTGTTCAGGCTCCACACCTGGGGCTCCCATCTGGTATGTGTTGAGTCACTCACAGAAGGAAGGAAAAGAGAGGCAATCTTCTTAAGAAAGCTCATTAGAGCCTTGCAAGCACAAGGCACATATGAAGAGAGCGAGATAAAGGTCACTTCATGCTCATTTTTCCAGGAAAACAGAGCATTCAGAAATGAGAGACAGCCGCAGTATAATCCCTGATACAGTTCATGCTCTATGCAGAGTAAAAAGGGAGGTTTGTTTTGCAGGCATCCTATTTCCACCCCACTTTTGGAACTGCAGCCGTAACCAGTATTGACTGATAGTGTCTAATGGTCTGATATGGATGCGCTAGCGTAATTGTATCTACACAGGCCTGTGTCAAAAACGCACTGACATGAGCATTTGGAGAGCTATAGTAGCTGTCTGTCAAGTACACAACGCTCCTAGTAAAACCCAATATAACCAAAATACAATTCCTCGCTGTGATCAGCATACTGCATCCTCTCACTGCACACACACACACACACACAGAGTCACTCTCACATATGCACTGATGTGACTAACAGTTATTGGCACAAATAGGTAGAAGCCCTACAAAACCAGTTTCGCTGCAGGACATATATAACCCTTTGTGATTAGCCCATTCGAAAACCATCACAACATTGCTGATTGCTGTGGTTATGAGCAATCTGCTCATTATTGAGACAACATGCACAAGAAGAAAAAGAAAAAAGTAAATCCTTTATCCCTCATGTTATAGGGACAAGTGTTGCTGCCTCTTTACATACAGCATCCTTCCTCTTGGTCACTACTAACAGCTCCTGCAAACTGAAGGAGAAGTCTCCTATTCTGGGGCACTGCTGTCTGTTCTCCCCAGGATTCCTCCCTTATCACAAGAAAGAAATTGGCTGCCAGACTGGGGAATCCTTTCATTTCAGCACACACCCTTACTAGTTTCAGAGCTGTGCCAGAAATCCTCGTTCTCCCCGGACCTGAAGCTCCTTCCTACATTCCTGGCTCCTGTAGCACAACTTT